CCACAATACCAGTCTTCCGCCTGGAATCGCGCGGAAGACCAAACACGAAGTCCATCGAAACGGACTCCCAATACTCCGACGGAGTCGGCGGTGGTTGCAGTGAAGCCTACGAGTGAGGCGCAGGCTTCACACGTTGACAAACATCGCAAGTACGAACGTACTTGCGCATCCACTTGTACTGGTGGTTTGGTGGTTCCAGTAGAAGTCTCTCATGAGAAGAGAATACGGCTTCTCACGTCCCGGATGTCCTGCCGTGGGGACATCATGATACTCGTACATGATCCTGCTGCGCAGGTTAGGATCACTCGGCACGACAATGCGGATCGCATTATCGTCTACAGCGCTGTAAAACAGTAGACCGTCGTGCACACGATACCGGTGTGCACCCGCTCGTAGACGAGGGGCCAACTTCCGACGTGGTTTGTCGGAAGGAGCTGAGAGAAACTCGATCAGCTGCTTCGCGTTTGTACACGCGGCCTTCACCTCGTCCAACGAAGACGACGACGGTGTATATGTCCGAGCGACGTCAATCCGGTGGACGTCGATTGTCCTGACAGCATAATCCGGTCGTCGCGACAACGCGTCCGCGACGACATTCAACCTTCCGGGTTTGTACTCGACCCGGAAGTTGTATTCCACGAAGAAGGACAACCATCTCACCATTCGTTGCGAGATGTGCGGAGACTTCACAGCCGTCCGCAACGTCGCGTGGTCCGTATAGACCACGAACGGCGTGTTGCCGAGTAAGTACACTCGGAACTTCGCGAGTGTATACTTCATGGCAAGGAGTTCCTTGTCATGTACTGGGTAGTTTCGCTCAGCTGGCTTTAGCTGACGCGACTGGTAGTAAACGTCTCGATCACGGCCCTCGTGATTGAGCTGCATTAACGCACATCCGATCGCGAAATCGGATGCGTCACACACTACGTGGAATGGGCGATCTTGGTCAGCCACAGCCAAGATTGGCGCCTCAGTCAAGCCCAGCTTGACTGCATCGAACGCCTGCTGACACTCAGCAGTCCATTCCCACGCAGCTTCCTTCTTCAGAAACTGCGACAGCGGGCGAATCTTGCCTGCGTAGTTGTCCACGTACTTGCACAAATACGTGGCAAGGCCAATAAACTGCCGCAGTTCCTTCACGCTGGATGGCGTAGGCCATTCATTGATCACTCTGACCTTCTCGGGGTTAGGGCGTACGCCATTCTTTCCAACGAGACACCCAAGCACGGGTATCTCGCTCGCACCGAAGATGCACTTCTTCAGGTTTGCATAGAGCTTGTGCTTGCGCATGAGCCCAAGCAGTTGTCGGAGATGCTCCTTGTGCATCTCGATGTCCGTCTTCCTTGTGCATCTCGACGTCCGTCTTCTCGTTCACAGCCCGGCTGTGAACGTACACATTGTCGAAGTAGCTCGGTGCGAAGTCGCGCACCGAGCGCAATAGATGCGTGACGCATCTATTGAAGGTCGCAGGGCGTTCTTCAGTCCTTGCGGTATAACTAGCCACTCCCAAAGCATACCGCTTGGAGTGCTTACCACAGTGAGAGGGATATCGCTCTCACGCATAAGGATTTGATAGAACCCGTCTCTCAGATCAAGATCACTGTAGATGGTGCTCTGATGATGACATCTTTTCGATGTATCGGCGTCTGTGCCGATATCGTCGCATCGTTCAGCTTATTGTACGCATGAACGATGCGCCAACCACCCTGTGGCTTCTTGACACAGAACGTCGGTGCGCTGTGCGGGGCTTGTCCTGCCTTGCGACGACTTTCGAAGAAGTCGTCGATCGTCTTCACTTGCTCCCGCGGCAGTGGCCACTGCCGCGTCACGCAATACTTCGTCCCCGGCACGAGATCAATCTCGTGCTGTATTCCCTTGCCCTGCGGAAGCTCCGCAGGGATTTCGTCCGGGAGCACATCTCTGTGCTCCCGTAGAATCTCGTAATAGAGACTCGACTTCAGGGAGTCCCAACTCTGCTCTTCGAAGTGTTCCTTCTTCGTCTTGGCACTGAAAGTATCTTCACTCTCAGTGACGCTTCTAGTTAAGAGTTGTCTCAACTCCTCTGCTTCGCTTTTTATTCTTTCTCCGTCCGAAAAATGCATAGCTGTTCGATGCGTCCATCGTACAGGTCCTTTGCGAAGCGCTTCCAGCTCATGACTGGAAGCGAGGTCACCTCCGCCGTATCCGTCGGAGGGTTCTCTAACACCATCTTCTTGTACTGGCACCCAGCACAGGCCCGCGTCGAGACGTTGAATGTCTCGACGGCCACTGTCGGCTCTTGTGCCTGCCCGGCAGACATACCTTGAAGAGTCTCGGTCCCAGACCGAGACTTGCGCAGCGTCTTGTGCTTGCGCCGTCGCTCCTTCTTGTGAATCCCGGATTCACGTGCGTTTCGTCCAAGCCCGGCCACGGACGAATGTTCCTTGATACCACCGGCTGACATTCCAGTCTGCGGGTGATCGCCGGCGGGTTCTTGTACCCGCGGGCACGAGTCATCAAGCCCGGCTTGATCGCGCCCGGCTTCGTGCAGCCGGGCTGCACGACAGCACACAAGCTTCAGTGCTGGACGTTTGCAACCGTCCAAACAGCTTGTCGCATCGACTTCCATAGTCGATGCATTGTCGTCAACTCTACGCCTTACAGCGGAGCAGTGTGTCGCAACTCCCGGAATATTGTCTCCTCGACGCCTCACGGGGGAGTACCCTCTCGATTTCGATATCGAGTGCGTGTCAACTCCTGGGGTCGACACGCTGTTGTCACCTCGACGCCCCACGGCGGGGAATTCCTTGGTAGTGTCTGGTCCCTGACCAGACACTCCACTTCTGTTAACGACTCCCGGAGTCGTTACAGCCCGCGCGCTCCACGCGCTACCACCGGAGACAGCGAGGCGAGCCACTGTCTCTGAAGGAGGTTTGGATGCACCGTTAGGTGTATCCGCTGCGCTAACAGGGCCATCGCTCTCTGTTGCGCCGCGGCGTCCGAAGCGTACGACCGTACGCGATAATAGGATCATGCCGTGCAAGCCATGTCCAACACCATGTCGAACTTGTCGTCCAAGTCCAGGACGAGAAGTTC